GGAGGCGCGCGACTACGACGGCCGAGTCTTCTACATTGACCACAACACGCGCCAGACGTCTTGGATCGACCCCCGCGACCGGTAAGGGCCCACCACACTGGGAGCTCGGGCGAGATCGGGCTAGGCGCCTCTCCGGAATCCGGACCGGCCGGGTGGCCCCTCGAGTCCGGGCGACGATCGGGCGCCCCTCTCGCCCCCCCGGGACCTTCCAGGGTGGGGGCACTCCATATCCTGGGCCCAGGTCGAGGACCCCAGGAAGCGCCCCATCTCCGGGGTCCCGGATCTCGAGCCCCAGGCTTGCGGAGCCGCGGTCTCCTCCCTCTTACTCGGTTTCCTCACGTCACCCGCTGTCCGGCGCCGGGGAGCTGGGCGCCTGGAATTTCCTCCGCTGGCCTGACGGATGGCTTGCTTTTCCTCTTTCCGCGGGACCTCGCCCATCCCTGGCCCGGGCTTCTGCGGCCCGGCGCCCCAGCACTGGCCGGGTAGGCGACCCTGGCTCCGCCATGGCGAGCTGAGCTGTCACCTGGGAAGCACAGGCGTCGCGCCCCTCATGGGGAGGGGGGGTCCTTGTTCAGCGGGCTCAGCCGTTTCCATCCAAATCTTGATGCCAGACAAGGCGCTTCAGGGATTCCCACCCATTTGGAGTTGGGAGAGCCAGTTCTCAAGCTGTGCTGAGTTGCTTTTTAGCTCCTAAAAATCAAGAGAGTTAACATGCCGTTTGAAATACCCCGGTGGACGGCGGCCAGCATGGGAGATGATTAGACCCAGATGGTTTCGGAAGAAATGAAAAACAAAAGTGGTCTTTCAGGTTCCCTTTTGTGGCAGATATGCGCAGGGCACAAAGTTGCCTGATTATTCATATAAATAAATAATCACAGAAACACGACTAGGTTTCAGTTAATCAAGTTCACTTAGGGTAGTTTCCTCTTTCCCTGTTTTCTTAATTGTCCATTGGTTTCAAGGATTCGCCTACATCCTTGGTAGAATTGGGAATTGTGGAGGACCCTCGTGTTTCCACTGGTCATCTGATATCTTGTCCTATCTAGAGTAACTTCTCGTCACGGGCCTGAGTGCCAAAGAGGAAACACTGCTGGCTTTCCAGTGATTTCCAGACTTCTGAAAGGGCCCAGTGTGATGACATGGTGCCTGCTTCCTCCTGCCCACGCATGGCACTGGCGTTTTAAAATAAACGTTTGAGGAGGGAAGCTGCTGAATTATTGTTTGAAGAGTGTTTTTTTTGGGGGGGGGGAGACTCCGGGAAAAACAAACGAAATCCTGGTTTCCCGTGCTCTGGGAACATGGCTGAGCTCTGGACTTGGGATCGGCTCTAGATCCTAGGACCCTGTTATGTTATGGGTTACACGGATGCTTAGTGGAAAGTTATTTTGAAAATCAGGTGAGATCATATTATAATTTTATCCAAAAGCTAGGCCCACAGCTGTCTGATCAAGCCTGGGATAGGTCTGGAGTTGGTAAAACGTCACTATCAGGGGCCCTTCACCCTATCTGTTGGTAACAAACCCAAACAACTGGAAAATGACCCAATTCAGAAGACCATTTTGCTTAGAAAAGGCTAAAGCTCACTTTATGAGGGTAATATAAAACAGTTGTGGTCCTAGTGGAGTGGCGATGCCTATGAACAATAGAAATGACAGCATTCCTGTTTCATGGGTCAACCCGCCACCTAGGTGAGCAATAGACACTGGAGACAGCCAGCGTGCAGAAAGGTCGCTCCTTCCCTCTAGTTCCTGCACGTTTCCTCTGTTCCCCTCGCCCCAAATCCACATGCCTGATGGAACCACGTTTCTAATTCACCCGTTGCAGCCATGTCTCTTGGGTTACAGGTTTTCAAAATTCCCATTTCTAATGCTAAACGTGTTGGTCGAGTGGACAAGAGTGAACATTTTTACATTTTTTGGTAAAGTAAAAACATGTGTACACTTTCAGAGACACTGTTTTTATACCGAGGGAAAATGCGGCAGGGGACGGCTTGAACTTCAGCTCCCAGAATACCTTGCCCGAAATATGTATGGAATGTTCAACAAGCCACAGACATTTAAGTGGAGTTGGTTGAAGGCTGTAATAGTCTCTCTGCAGCTCCACTTTCACAACAGAAAATAGCCAATTTTTATGGGTGACCAGTTAGTCTTTAAAGTTGTTATGAATTTATATTACACAGGCAGAGCTGGGCTCCAAGCACGTTTTCTCCCATGTGCATCAGATACTCTGAGAACCCTTTTTGAGTCATGTTGGCTTCTCACGACCAGGAGCCGGTGATCAAGAACTGAACTGATGGACTCCGGAAGCCATTGCCCTGAGATAATCTTTAAACCTTAAGCCAAAAAGATCCCCTGAAGTCTCCTTAAAACCAAATGCTGGTTTAGTTTAACTAGGAAGGAATGTCTGCCTTGAGCTTTGTGCTCTTCTTAGGTCTATCTCTAAGCGGTCAATTTGACAACAGCAACTCTAAAGATTAGATAGGAAGCTTGGGGGTGGTGGGGTGGTGGGGGCAGTGAGGCTATGTTAATAGAGGAGAAACAACCCAGAAAAAGAGGGTGAGGATGGTTACACTGCAGGAAAAATGTCCTCAAGGACACCGAATCCCTTGGATTCCTGGTTGTTGGGCTGTGTATGTTTTTCAACAGAAACAACGAAATACACTTTTTTAAAAAAGAAATGAATTGGCGGGAAAGAAAAATAACTAATAACTTTTCTGAAGTCATTGTGGAGGAATAAAATGAGTTCAGTAGGTTAGGTGAGTATTGTGGCAAAGTTAGAAGGATCATTCCCTGAGTGAGTTAACAAAACCTATCATTCCATAAAATCAGCTGCTGTGAGCAGAGTAAGGGAAGGCCAAGGATTGTAAACAAAATCTCTTGGAAGTTTTATAGCGATTCCATTTAATGTTACATTTAACATTTGTTGTTGCCAGCTCAGGGAGGGCTGGTGAGTTATCACCAGAAACGGGTTTCTTCTTCAGGTTGTACCAAAGAGGATGTAAGCCTCAGGGTCCATCCCTTACAGCTCTGGCTAAAATCTCAGTGTGGGAAAATGGGAATCTTTCATTTTGATTACAAAATGGAGGGTCCACAGGTGGAAGCCCACTATTTCTTGAAACCAGTACTGTGCCTAGCAGTTTCCTAGTTTGTTTACTGAGCATTAGACCCACACACATTGTTAGAGAATATAATGAGAATCGATCATTTCCACAGGGCCCAGTTTCTATTTAGCGGCTGTCATTCTTTATATCCTGCAAATCCTCACTCAGGGTACATTCATCACCTTATAGGACTAACTGTACTCACAAGTATTTCCCACTTGGGTGGAAATTTTGGGAGAAAACTTTTTGCTCTCTTGGGAAGAATTTGCTGATTAACTGCTTCCTGCCAAGTGGTTTTGATATTACTCTTCTACAGATTTACTGAGAGGTGGAAACTTAAATTTGGGATGAGATCACATCAGAAATCAAAGTAGAGTGTAGCTAATCATGCAGCCTGCAGAGGACTATGCTGATATCATGGTGCACTAGCCAGGTACTACCTGGAGGAATCTGTGGTGCTTTAAGTCCTTGAACAATTGCTTTAAGGAGAAAACAGTCCACGCATGGCTCTGGAATCTGCCAGGTTGGAGCAGCACGTAATGGCCAGATGACATCATCGCTACCTTCTGGGAACCTTTATTTAGTATTAATTTATAGGAGGTTTTCTATATTTATCTCACAGAATCTGTTTCTGGATTACATAAACTGCCTTGGCTGGGGCTTTCTGATAAACGAAAAACAAAGATGGAGTGTCGTATGAACACGGGAGGAGGGGCCATCTTGCTGTTAAGGTCATATATGGTGAACACCTAGAAGAATCTTCTTTTTCCACTTAGATTGTCAGCAAGCACCACTTGGTCTAATTTCATTCTTTGTCTTTTCTCTCTCTCTTTTTTTTTAAAGAAAAATGAATGGAAAAGTCATTTAGCTCCCAAAATAGTTCCTGGATGTTTAGAAACCTCTAAGTCCTGCCCCCGCCCCCCTTTTCACTTGGATTGTGGAAGGGAAATAATGTGTATACCTTCTCTGGTCAAATAACATGTTCCAGGTCACTGGGGAGCCTCTCCTGGACTTCCTGACCTTTAACCGAAGTCTTTTTTGTTTTTTCTTCCAATGTTGACTGCCTTTCCAAAACAAAACAAAACAAAAAATCAATAAAATTAAGATAAATGTGAAGGTAGAGTCTACTGAATTCAATTATCTCCAATAAAGTGAAAATATTACATAGACTCGTGGCCTCCTATGCATTGGGGCAAGACATGGAGACCAAGAAGTAACCATTTGTGTGGGAGATAGGGCACAAACATAAAAAAGGCAGACAGTAATAGTGGCGAGGCACGTATGATTCATTCAATTCTTCAGGAGGTGATTGCTTAGGAGAAAAGTGTGGGTGGCTTACTTGAGGCTGCAGTGGTCTCCATTGTGGCTTACTGAGGGTTCCTTGTGCTTCTTGAGTATTGGGGAGTGAAGGGGCCAAGCGCCTAGAGATGGAAAAGAAAATCAGAAAAGTGCTGGGATGAGGACATGCAGGGTGGGTTGGGAACCTATCAGGGAATCAATCATCAGTGTGATGTAGCCAGAGTTGTCTTGTAAAAGAGGCAAGACTTTGGCCAGACTGGTTAGAGACCTCCGTAAGCTTTGGAGTTAGAGGAGCTAAAGTCATTTTATTCATACTCATTTAGCATTTGAGGACCACATCCAAGGGACTTGAGTGAGGCTCCCCTCAGTAGGTAGAAGGGCAGGTCCGTGAGCTGAGATCTTCTGAATCCCAATCCAGTGAATGACCTTTCAGGCAAGCTGTTCAACTGCCCACTCACCGTGCATTTGTAAACATCCAATCTCTTTCCATTCATTCTATAACTGATTATTTGTTATACAACATGTAGGTTTTATGTACTCTTTCAGGTTTGGGGGCTCCGAGGTTGACAAAACCAGACAGATCCCTGCCTCGGTGAGGCTGATATGGAAGCCCTCTTCTCTGAGGTCTTGTCATGCCAATCCTGCCCACTGGATTCTCCTTCTTGGGACCCCATGGTTTTGG